TCTCTGAGTTTCCTCTTAATTCTTTTCAGGCATTCCTTCCCCTCCTTCAAAACTGATATCTTGGGGCGCCTGGGTGGCTCAGTGGGTTAAAGCCGCTGCCTTCGGCTCAGGTCATGATCCCAGGGTCCTGGGATCGAGCCCCGCGTCGGGCTCTCTGCTCAGTAGGGAGCCTGCTTCCCTTCCTCTCTCTCTCTGCCTGCCTCTCTGCCTACTTGTGATCTCTGTCTGTCAAATAAATAAATAAAATCTTAAAAAAAAAAAACAAACAAACTGATATCTTTCAAGAGGTCTAACCCCATCATCAGTTGGAATTAGAGCACCTATGAAATAGATGTCAAAATCATCTGAAGATGATGAAAAACATTTCAACAGTTCAGTCACTGGGACAACTAGTGGGAGAGGTCAATGGGAAGAAAAGATCCCAGGCTAACAGCTTTCCAGTTCCATACCCTTCTAGGCCCTGATCTACTAACTTCTCTAGTTTATAATGCATTATTCTGTACTCATTCAGGAGTGGTATTCACTGCTTTGTAACTCTCTCTTATTTTCACAATTTATTTTTGAGGTTAAATAGTAAATTTCTTGAGGACAACAACTGTGTCCTTGACTTTCTGTTTGCATTCTCTGTCTTTATGTGCCCATCACGCTGTTGTGCACAAGGTAGATGATCCCTCAGAGAAAGAATCCTCTTAATCCCACTGCTGTCTCAGGACACACGAGTATGAGCAGCAGAGTATGAGCAGCTGGATGGATGCTACTCCCCCTGGACGGATGATAGGAATCAGTCAGCCCCGTTGCTAGCCAACCCAGCAGAGGATAATGACACAAAAGCTTTGTAGTTTACAGCTTATACTTGTAGTTTACAGCTTATACTTTTAACCCTCTCAACAGTCCTCCCGAGGTAACTGATGAGCTTTTCATTTGATGCATGAGAAAACTAAACTTTAGAGAAGTCAAGTGACTTACCCAAGACCACGTGGGTAGAAGGTATCAGAGACCACGTTCAGGTGCAGATCGGCCAATTCCAGGCCTGGTGCTCTTTCCATGAGCTGGGGCTGCTGTGCCCTGAGTCACCAGCAGGTATTCGACTAACTGCATTCCTGAAACTTGTCTGGTTGTGGCTTGGCTCCCATGGATTTAGAGCAAGATTGATCTGGGCAAGTGGCAGGACTAGTTGATCATAGAAATACGGACCAGCGCAGTATATGTGTGTGTATCTGTGGATATATACACACGTCTGTACACACGCACATACCTACATACACCTGTACAAATAGATGACAACAAGCACGTGGTATTTGTACTACAGTGTTAATTTCAAGATGGAGTAAATATACTAACATAGTAGTCTAATAAACAGATAGTAAAACTTTTAAATTTTCATTTAAGTAATCTCTACACCCAACATGGGGCTGGAACTCATGGCCCCGAGATCAAGAGTCCCACACTCTACTGACTGACCCAGCCAGGTGCCCCCAACAGATATTTTTAAATTATCAGGTTCTGTGGTGTCTTTTCCTCTCTCTCCTCTTTCTTTCCAACCTAGTTTTCCAACGTGCACTCTAGTAAGCAAAAAAGGAATCAGCGTATCCAAAGAAATAGATTTTACTTTGTTCTTTGCAAAATCCAGACGATTGAGGGGGCAAAGGGGTCTAGAGGTGGGAGAAGGAAAATGATTTTACCAATAGGCCCAGGACTCAGATGTGAGGTGCTCTCATCAGGCTCTGTTGCTGCTGCTTAAACTCCAGGCCATTGGTGGCCCCGGGAGTGGCACGCCTTGGTTCTCCAGTTTATTGGCAACAGGATCCTACCAGTGACCAGAGAAAGGAGCAGGCTGCATTTGCTTCTGGATGGATGAGCGCAAGTACAAAGCTACCCCACATCTACCGAACAGCTAAGAACATGGGCAGCCAAGCCATCTTGGGCCCCAGTTGGGATCGAAAGCGCTCCAGGATCACTGCTGTGGAAGTGACGATGCTTTACTTACGGGCCTCTTCCCCACCCTCCTTCCACTGAAGGCGACCGGATGGATGCAGATCTGAATTTGAGATTGAGATCCTGAACCACCACTGTGTCCTGAGAAAAAAGTGTAAGTTCAGAGTGAAGAAGCTCCGGGGTTCAAATCCCTACGGTGGGACCCCAGACAAGTAACTTTATCCTTAGAGCTTAGGGTTGTAGATCCATAATGTGAGAATAATAACTGCCATGCGCAGGGGGTTGTTGGGAAGATTTGACTAAGTGCTTAAGGTAAGTGTCATAGAGAATAGACTTGATAAATATCAGCCCCCACCCCCGCACTGTCCCCTGCTTCTCCCAGTCCACACCCTGAGCGCTGTTCCTAAGTTAGCCAGGCGGAGGAGGGGCTGGATTTGGTGGATCCCCGATCTCAACCAACGAGGTTACACTGCGGTAGGGCACCCCTGATGCCAAACTCTCTCAGCACCGACAAGTGCTTTTTTTGACACAGATCAGGTCTTTACCAGAGATCTGTATTCAACAGGGTCACAGTTTAAGAAGGGAAGTGAGAGGAAGAATGGCAAAGTTAATACATGGTTATAAGTTTGAGCCTCTAAGAGAATCTTAAATTGTCTTTTACTTGGAGAAAACAAGGTTGAAAGTGAATTTAACAAACTCTTCAAGACTGAAGCTGGTTCATGGCCTTGATCTCTAAGACCAGAAAAAAAAAAGAAAAGGAGTTGAATTTGCATTAGAGAGGAAGGAAGAAAGACAGACTGAACTTAAGGCAAAACTGCTCTAGATGATTATTACATAACACATTGGGACAGGTGACCCTGGAAGCCTATGGGGTGGTCTTCTTTAGAGCTCCATAAGAAGAGGGCCCTAGTTTGTCTGGATGGGGAGAGGCACTGGCCTGGCTGAGTAGTCTGCCCCGGAAATCCACGGAAGAGAGGCAGGCGGGTGGGGAATATCGCAGGGATATCTTCTGAGACCCGGAAAATATGCCTAAGCTCTTTGAGAGCTTTCAAGGAAAAGAAACAACGTCAGAGTGGTCTGAGACTGGGAGACAGAATCCAAATACCAAGGAAGGAAGAAACCCAGTATAGGGAACATGGGGCAAAGGGGAGGAAAAGAAACAGCCCATCCTGTATCCAAGTCTACTTCTGGTGGCATCATAACTTCCCTTCTGTGGGCCTCAGTCTCCTTTTCTATAAATGAAGTGATTGGATTAAGCACTACCTTGAGTCCTCAGCAATTCTGAACTTCTGTTCACAAAATCGATCCAGAGAACACGTGAGCACATCTGTGAAAAGCCACCACCATCCAAACCCCGGGCTGTACTGGTGGCAGAAGACAGAGGGCCAGCACACCAGTGCAGGAGAGGGCTGGGGCTCTGGGGTCAGACTCAGGTAGAGGGTAGAGGATTTGAATTCCTCTCTGCTCCTCAGCCAGAAACTAGTTGTTCATCTTCTTTGAACTACAAAATCTTCATTTGTAAACCGGGAATAATAATAGCCTCATTGAGGGGTGTAAGTTTAAATTAGATAATGCAACTAGAATACTTAGTATAATAATATCTACTAGCTTCTGTGCCTTGGGCACCTATCAGCAAAACCGTACTTATTGTGTTAGTATTCTTGGAACGAGCATTTTTAAACCTTTCTATTTCTATCTCTACTGAATGTTAGGATATATTGCAACCGAATCATATAATTTGTTGCGATGGTGGCATTTGTCTTTAACATATTTGCCTTCTCTTGTTTTAGCAGAATAAATTCGAATTCATTCAGCTTTCCCGAAAGGCATATTAAAATAGGTACACAATCCATGCTTCTCTGGCTGCCTCCGCGTATTCTCTGTGCTTTTTAATTTGTCAAGTAGAAATGACAGAGTAATTGTCCAGCGCGCCAGCAGCTCTAAATCGCTGAGATGGTCCTTAGCAAGTCCCTGTCCCAGAGACCTGTGCTGCCCCTCTCCCCCGTGGTCAGTTTCTCCAGGATTCTGGCGGTTTCACCATTAGCTAATCTTCTTGGCACCTTGGCCCCTCCCTTTGCAACTTCAGTTTGCTCTCTTTAATAGTGTTTCCAACTCAAAACCCCCTATCCGACTCTTCGTGAGGCTGGATGCCCCACTCCCCCGCTGCACACCTGGGGGTCATAGGATGTGCGCCGGGTAGATGGGGAATTCAGTCCACCGAGCAGAGAAGGCGCGTCTCCTGGGCCAGGGCGGGGCCCCAGGTTAGGAGCGGCCTCCTGCCTTTTGGCTTTACTTCCCCGCAGGGGACACCGTAGGCGGCTGTGCGGTCCCGCCACTGCCCCCCGCCCCTCGCGTCCGGCCGCGCCGTGGGTTGCGGTCTCTGTGGGGGTGGCAGCTCCTGTCCGGGAGGTTTGCGTCTGGCGGGGCACCCCGGAGCCGCGGGGAACCCAGAGGCGAGGCCCAGGCGGGGTGGGGCGCGTCCGGGCGGGGAGGGCGAACTCAGGCAGCGCAGGGGGCGCCGAGGGCAGCGGGCGGGCGGACACGGCGGAGGAGCGAGCGGGACGAGGGCTGGCTGGTGCCGGGGCCGCCCGCCCGAGGGGGAGGAGGCTGTGCCGCCCTTGCTGCAGGTTCGCTGTCGAGCGCACAGGAGGCAGGGACATGGGTAGGGTGCGGTCTGCGCGGGGCCCGAGCCCGGATCTCTTCCATTTCCCCTCTCACTCGGCCCCGAGCTGCGCCGCAGACGGCAGCAGCTCCCGCTCCGCCCGAGCCGCCTGACCGCCGGGCCGGGGTGCTAACCGCGGGGCCCGCCAGCCCCGCCGGCCCGGCCAGCCCAGCCCAGCCCGGCGGCCCGCAGCCCCGCCGCCCGCCGCCCCCCGCCGCCGCCGCGTTGCCAAAACAAACGGGCCGGCCTATTTATTGGCGGCCGGCGAGCCGGGCAGCTCAGAGTCGAGGCGCCGAGGGGGACAGCGCGCCGCCACCAGCCAGGGCCCCGGGCCCCCGCCCCGCACCTGAGTCCCGCCGGCCCTGCGCCGCGCCGCGGCAGCCCATGGCGCCCCCGCCTGGAGCCCCCCGGAGCCACCCGGACGCCTGAGTCCCCGCAGCGCTCCCGTCGACTCGCCCGCCCGCCAGCCCACCAGGCGCCCTCGCCCGCCGCTCGCTCGGGCTCCCCGGCCATGTCTCCCGCCCGGCTCCGGCCCCGACTGCAGTTCTGCCTGCTCCTGCTGCTGCTGCTGCTGGTGCCGGCGGCGCGGGGCTGCGGGCCGGGCCGGGTGGTGGGCAGCCGGCGGCGGCCGCCGCGCAAGCTCGTGCCGCTCGCCTACAAGCAGTTCAGCCCCAACGTGCCCGAGAAGACCCTGGGCGCCAGCGGGCGCTATGAAGGCAAGATCGCGCGCAGCTCGGAGCGCTTCAAGGAGCTCACCCCCAACTACAATCCCGACATCATCTTCAAGGACGAGGAGAACACGGGCGCCGACCGCCTCATGACCCAGGTGAGCGCGACCCGCCCTCGCAGGGCGCAGCCGTCGAAGCACCGCCACCTGCCCGGTCCTCCCCGCCCCCCTGGCACCTTTTCCCGACTGGCTGGCACGCCCCCTGGCACCTGCCCCTCTCGCCAAGCCCGGCCGCCTGCTGCCCAAGATGGGCCGGCCAGGGGTCCCCGGAGGGCAGCGCGGACATCCGCGAACCCGCTGGAGGCTGTGAGAAGAGCTCCCCGCCGCCAAGCGCCATGGCCCAACCGGGTGGCGGCAGCCTCTCTGGCCCGGAGTGCAGGCAGCTGAGGTCAGACGCGGCACCCGGAGGTACCTGGACTCCACCGCCTCCCGCGCCTCCGGGACCCACTCAGTCCCTCCGGGCCTAACCTTCCGCACGGCTGCGCCCCTCTCCTTTTGAAGCCATCGGGCACCCCAAAGGCGAAGAAGCTGTGGGCGCAGAGGGCCTTTCCTTCCCGCGCGCTCGTTGTCCGCCGCGCTGCCCCCTCCTGGAGTAGCGTCCCCCCTGGGTCTGGTCTTAGGGACAGCGGGAAGAGTTGGGCTGGGAGGCGGAGGTGGGAAAGGGAACTTGCCCTGCGAGCCCACGTGTCTGTCCCGAGAGCTGAATGGCCCAGTTGCGGTTAAGGGTGGGGTGCCGGGAACTTCGGACTCTGGGAACGAACTTGGGGGATCCCCTGGGCTTGGTGGCCGGGACGGGGAGGGCTGAAAGAGAAGAGCCACGATGCCTGCCTGGGGAGGCCGGGAGCAGAGCTAACGCTAGCTAGTCTCTGCAAGCGAGGAAGCGCTCAGCCCACGCTCTTGGGGGTCAAACTTTCTTTCCTGCAGCCTGGATCCCAAGGAATCAGAAACCTTCCTCCCCTTCCTCAGTGGTGTCCCGGGGCTGCCCCCGCAGGCAGGGAGCCTGCTTGTTAGGTGCTTTGGGAAGAGCAGCTCCACCACAACCCTCAGCCTGCGCCCTGGCGCCGGGGCTGGCCGGCCGGTGTCGGGGCCGAAGGTTGGCTGGTGGCCGGGCCGGGCCGGGCGCCGAGGAATGCAGATAAGGATCCGGGCCACGGGCTGGGCAATCATTGACAGCGCACGCCGGGCTCCGGACCGGGGGGGAGGGGGAGAAGGGCGGGGAGCAGGGCCCTGCGGGGCCGCCGGAGGTGGGGGGCTAGAAGCCTGGAGGCAAGGAGCACGCAGAGCTCCCTCCCTGGGCAGTGAGCGCCCCCCCAGGTAGGCTGCTCGCCCCGGAGGTTGGCCAAACCTTGGGCTGTAGCCGCTGATGGCTCCTGGGAGACCCGAGTCCAAGGGTCTGTGGGGCCTGGGCTCTCTCAGGTGGGGCACTGGCTGCCCAGGCTTGGCAGGGCCCCACACCCAGTCAAGGACTGTGAAAGGGACCCCTCTCTCACAGGCCCCTCCCCCCAGCCAACTGCAGGGTCCTTTGGGCTGCAGGCACGGTGGGAGTCACCACAGACAGATGAGCTCTCTGGTCCTTCCCAGTAGGCCAGGGCACAGCTCGACTCCCGCCCCCATGTGAGACAGAGCATGGAGCCGGCTTGCTGAGATCAGAAGCTCATTTCCTCGGGTCCCTTCTCTGATAGGGGCCACACAGAGGTGCTCATGGCTCTGGACTCAGGGAGAACGTATCCTGGGATTATCAACCCCACGGGCTTCCCATGCAGCAGGAGACGCTCCCTGTCGCCCTCCATCTGGCCGGGCTGTGAGCTGGCATTTCCATCAGCTTCTGGTTCCCCTGCTTCCACATCCTCCGATCCATTGCTGGAGGGTTTTGGATCTTCAGTAGCAGCAGGAATTGAAAGGAAGAACTCTGTGGCACTGGAGAGATCCAGGGAGCCCGGGGTTCTCCTCCAACACACCCCCACGCTGCTGGGGTGCTCTGCACCTGCCGTGCCTCAGGGCTGGGGTTGGGGGGCTTCAGCCCTGAGGCTACGGTGACACCTACTGGGCACCTCCGGCCTTGCATGCCTAGCAGTCCTGCCCGAGGCAGTCGGCTTTGCTACCACCTCCCCCCACCCCCCACCCCGCTAGCAAAGTGCGGTTTCTGGTCTCCAGGGCCTTGGTGGGACAGGGGGACTGGGGCTGGAAGAGTAGCCCCATCTGTGGAGGGATGGGTGGCCCGGATCTGAGGGGAGGGAGTGCAGGAGGGAGGGGCCATTTATCAGAGAAGGTGGCCCAAGGGTGCACCTCCTGCTGGGCCCTCCGGATTTGTGGCGCCACCATGCGGTCCAGGTCCCTGGAGCAGCCAGATGCTAGAATGCAAGGAAACAAGTTAGGGCTCTTTGTTCTTAAGAGACAGGGATAGAGCACCTCCCCGGTTTCCCAACTCAGGCAGATGATCTGGGAGAGGCCTGGCATGCAGGCCAGCATCTCCCCCTAACTCCACGTGCTTTCCTCTTGCAGCGCTGCAAGGACCGCCTGAACTCCCTGGCCATCTCGGTGATGAACCAGTGGCCTGGCGTGAAGCTGCGAGTGACTGAAGGCTGGGACGAGGACGGTCACCACTCGGAGGAGTCGTTGCACTATGAGGGCCGCGCGGTGGACATTACTACTTCAGACCGTGACCGCAATAAGTACGGACTGCTGGCTCGCCTGGCCGTGGAGGCCGGCTTCGACTGGGTGTATTACGAGTCCAAGGCCCACGTGCATTGCTCCGTCAAGTCCGGTGAGCCGCTGCCTGGGGGCTGGGCCCGGGGCCGGGGCCGCAGGGCGTGGGCAGGCACAGGGCTCACTGCTGCCCGGAAGGTGAAGAGGCCGGCCAGGGGATGGAGGAGGGGACCCCAGGGAAGAAGACATCTGCGGCGCTCCCCGCTGCTGCTTGTGACCACCTGCTCATCCCGTCCCTGGTAGTGTCATGGCAGGAGCCTAGGGAGACAGGGCCTGTCCCAGTGCTGCTGGGGGCCGGCCTTGCAGTCCGCAGTCCAGAGCCTGTCACAGGAAGTGCAAGCCAGAGCGAGCTGGACAGATGGAAGCCAGGCTGTGACTGAGATGGCCTCCCCACTCAGCTGACTCAGAATGGAAGCGGGTGGTGGGACCAGGGGCCGGGGCCAGGGTGTGCCCAGACACCAGCCTGCCTGACCGGGAGCCAGGAGCCCAGAGATTCAGAATCCACAACCCTGCGGCAGGTCAGGCCCTTTAGGGCACTTCATATGCTCCCCCGGGGGGGTGGGTGCAGGTGTCCCCAACCTCTCCCCCCAGGGCCCTGAAGCTGGACATTTTGGGGCAAAGCCAGCCACGAGGGCCAGAATAAACAGAGTGGACTCAATAAAGTGGATTTTCCCAGATTGGCCGCCTTGTTGATCCAAATGGGCAGGCATGGGGGCCTCGCCCCTCCCTCGACCTTGTCAACATCCCTGTCACCTACACTGAACCCAGTCACAGATGCTTCAAAAGGTTCCTGCATGACCGCCAGCCTAGCCCCACCAGGCTGTGCACCAGCCCATAGTCACACTTGAAGACCTGGTACACTGAGACCAGGCCCACTGCTTCCTATTCCCAGACCCACCGGGGCACACCGTGGGGCCCCCACCCCCACCATCCCCTTGGGCACTTGTCCACCAGTGGTATCTGCTTCAAGTCACATCCACCCTGCACCTGTGAAACACTGGCCCAGGGCCAACTCCCCAAGTGGCCACCTCCATCCTCATTCCTGACCCCCAACACTGCCCTCCCTCCCACTCCCCAGTGCCACCATGTCCTGTCCCCACACAAGGACCCAGCACACGAACTGAAGATGGTGATTTTACCCTTGCCAGTGAGCCGAGCCCTGGCCTGACTGTCTGCTCCGAGGCTCCCCAGAAATCTGTGTTTGTGCATGGCCGGTCCTCTTCTCACTTCCTTATGGACTCTGAGGTTCAGCTCTGGCCCAGAACTTGGGGAGTCCATCTGAGAGGGCAATTTTGGGGGAGTGTCCGAGCAAAGAGTGAGAAATAACGGGACATCCAGACCCCAGAGGAGCTAAGTGCCTTCTCTACGGAGACTGCTGCTTGCCAAGGGTCAGGTCATGGCTGACTGCTGCCCGGCTCAGACGATCCTGGTCCTCTCTGACAGCTTCATGGCACTGTCAGGATGGAGGGCAGGCGGGGGCGGCGGGGGCTTTCCCTGGGCTTCAGGAGGGCCCTTTCCTCCTCACCCGTGGGTCTCAGCACACTGAGTCCACTCCTCTCGCTGGCAAAGGATTCGATAGGGTGGCGGTGGGGGAAGGGAGGAAGATGACATCGTGGGCTGGGGTGGATTCAAGGCTGCATGGGACTGGGGTGTGTGTGGAGCAGAGCTGGTGTACGGTGAGCGGTGGCAGGGGGCACCCTGGGAGTGAGAGGCGCTCTGCGGAGGGGTGCTCTGACATAGTAATAATACCTTTGTGTCCCTTCTTCCCACAGAGCACTCAGCTGCGGCCAAGACAGGAGGCTGCTTTCCTGCCGGAGCCCAGGTGCGCCTGGAGAGTGGGGCACGTGTGGCCTTGTCGGCCGTGAGGCCTGGAGACCGGGTGCTGGCCATGGGGGAGGATGGGAACCCCACCTTCAGCGACGTGCTCATTTTCCTGGACCGTGAGCCAGACAGGCTGAGGGCCTTCCGGGTCATCGAGACCCAGGACCCCCCGCGCCGCCTGGCCCTCACGCCTGCCCACCTGCTCTTCACCTCCAACAATCACACGGAACCAGCGGCCCACTTCCGGGCCACCTTTGCCAGCCAAGTGCGGCCTGGCCAGTACGTGCTGGTGGCTGGGGTGCCAGGCCTGCAGGCCGCCCGGGTGGCGGCTGTCTCCACACACGTGGCAGTGGGGGCCTACGCCCCACTAACCAGACACGGGACGCTGGTGGTGGAGGACGTGGTGGCTTCCTGCTTCGCGGCAGTGGCTGACCACCATCTGGCTCAGTTGGCCTTTTGGCCCCTGCGACTGTTTCACAGCTCGGTGTGGGGCAGCTGGACCCCGGGAGAGGGCGTGCACTGGTACCCTCGGCTGCTCTACCGTCTGGGACGGCTTCTGCTGGAAGAGGGCAGTTTCCACTCACTGGGCATGGCCGGGCCAGGGAGCTGAAAAGTCCCCTTGGCTGCCCTCCCGCAGCTTCCTGACTCAGTCCAAAGGCCTCCTTGCCAGCAGGGCACTGGCGCTGGACGGGACTTGAGTCGGGGGGCACTGGTTCCCACCATCTCCTCTTTCACGGAGACACACCATTGCAACTTCATTGCGCAGTGCCAGTGTCGACCACCCATCCCACCTTGATGCAGTGACAGAGTTGAAAGCCCAGCTGGTTGGTGGGGGTGGGAAGGGCTGGTCTAGCCTTCTACCCTAGAGACCTCGAGGCTGGCAGAGCGGGGCCGACCCAGCCAGCTCTCCCTTCGACTTTTCATACCTGCCTCCCCCGCGGAGGAAGGCCCATTCCATCTGTCTTAGGCCCCTTGTAGGTGGGCTTGCCCCTCAGTTGATGCTGCTAGATTCCCTGGGAGCCAGCAGGGAGCTGGCTGGACTCGACGTCAGCTGCCCAGAACCGAGAAGGCCGTAGGGTAGGGCAGTCAGCCCGGCAATCATGAGGCAGGACCTTCCTTTCCGGACACACTCCTCGGGACGCCTCCAGAGACTGTTGTTATCAGCGGGAGGAGTTCTGGGTTTCAGCCAATGTGATCACAGCGCCCAGGAACCTGGGGAGGGGGCTGGATGTCCTTCCCCCCCTGTCCGGGCTAAGCTCCCTCTTCTGCTGAACCACGACCCCCACTCCCCCTCCGGTCAGTCTCCCCCACCTTATTTATTGGCACGGAGGGGGAAGCCCATGGGAGAATTTGGGGGATGTTTTGGTCTTTTCTTCCTTTTGTAATAAAAATTATTTAAGTTGTTAGAGCTGTAGAGTCTAGGACGCTGAGTGGGGCCAATACACAGCCTGGACCCATGGGTGGGTCTGTCCCAGGTGTGCTCACCTTCCTCCATGGACAGAACCTCCCATGCTCCCACCGTCTCTGCAGGCCCTCCTCATCCAGCAGCCCAGCAAAGCCTCCCCCTACACCCACACCCACCCCCAGAGAGCTGGGCTCGGCGCCGGGCAAGGCCTTTCATGTGCTGACCTCCAACTTTGCCTTAAACACTACTGGACCAGAGAGAAAACTGAGGTAACTAGCCCAGGACCCCGTTACTCCTCTCAAACCACCTCACTGTGCCTAGTCAAGGCCCGTTTCCTGCTTGCTCTAGACTTTCTCGGGGCCTGGGATTCTCTTCCTTCAGTGCGAATAATGGACCATGGTACAAGAAGATTCTGTAGAATTTGCATCTGCCTCATGGCCCATTCTGACTTCTGGGATAACTCAGGGGTCCCTAATCTAGCAGGTCTCAAACCTCAGAACTCCCTGTGCAGCGTGTTTAAAAATGATTCCTGGCTCCACTCAAACAATTCTGCTATAACAGATCCAGACGAGGTGCAGGAACTTTTTACAAACACACCCAACATGGCCAATGGCCCATGGATGGCCCTTGGAGAAACATGGCTTAGTCTAGAGAAGGCCCAGTTGGTTGCCCAGACAAGATGACCGCCTTCTTCATTTTCTCTTGGTCTCTCGAGCCCAAGGCCGTTTTTTCTGAGCTGATCTCACTACAGATAGTGGAGATGCCCAGGTCCAGTGGTATATTTGTGAAATTGTCAGACGTTTCACAAGCCAGTTGAAATAGGCCACAGCAGGAGAATTCACACCATGGAAACGGGTGTACGCTCCGAAGTAGAGTTCCCCCGACCATGGAGAGCCAGTTGCTAAAACACACCACCGTCCAGTTTCTCCCCTCTGCGTCAGGGATGACTGCTCAGACTCTCACCTCACCCTTCCCCCATCTCCATGGAGGAAAACACCAGAGAAAACGTCATTGCCCCGGAAGCTGTGTCATCTGGGAGGAAATAGGGTCCCCTAGGCGATAATGACAACTGCTGTTGTCTGGTGCAGACTAACCATCACCATGTATTGTTCTGAGTACTTTATAGGAAGCTACTTAATTCTGGCAACAACCTTATGCGATGTATGTTTTCATATTACCATGTTTCAGATGAGCACAGAAGCACAGGGAGGTTAAGTAACTTGCCCGAGATGACAGAGCAAGGGACAGAAGCAGGATTCGAACCCATGCATCTTGGCCTTTGGGCCCAGTTTTGACCACAAGGTTTTTCCCTTGGTGAACCTGGGTTCTCTCTGGAAGGCATTCTCAGCATTTCAGGCCTGGAAGTCAGCTTTGTCAGCACATCTAGAATGGACTCATGGGCAGACGCTCATGAGCCAGGTTCACAGGGACCGAATGGCCATGAACTCATCTACAGCGAAAAACAGAAGATCAAGGTCAAGATACTCTTGTCCGTTTGTTTGTACATTCTCTCGCTTACAGACATTCTTCGTGGGGGTGGGGGAGAGGCAGAGAGAGAGAGAGAGAGAAAGAAAGGGAGGGAGAGAGAGAAGAGGGAGGGGGAGGAAGAAAGAGAGGTTTCCCCCATGGGGTCCAGCTGCTTCTCCTACTGGGCCTGAGTACACTCTGTCCTGCAGACACAGAGCCATTTGGTGTCCCCAGACCTTTCTGTTCTATATGGGTTTCCTCAGGAAACACATTCATTCTCCAGACAAAGAAGGCTGCAAAGATTCAGAAAGAAATTTATCTGAATCCAGACCCTCAAAACCCAACCTTGGGGTGGATGTGGGACCCTGTGGCTTTTCCAAGAATTCTGGGACCAGACCTGGGCACAATGTGTGAGCGGGGAGACATGGGGAGACAGCCTGGGATGACATCTTCCACCGTTACAGGATGATTGGGGCCCCAATCCCTCCCCCCCAAACCCACCTCGTCCCAGCATCTATAATGCCAAGGCCCAGAGGAGGGTCAACCATGCCGCCCAGGCAGCTACTGATCCTATGCCTGCCTTTCTTCTCAAGGTCAAGTGCAGCCCCTAAAGCTCCTGCGTCCGCAATTATGACCTGCATTCACGTGTTTGGTCCTCATTCACTGGATACTCTTGTGTTGGGTCCCATGCCAGAGTGATGGAAAGTGGTGGTTCCCGCCATGGGGAACCCTTGGGTGGTGGGAAGCAGCATGGGGAGACATGCCCGTGCTGTGTGCTGGGTCCTGTGGCCAGCATCTCACAGGGGCTATGGGAGTGCCAAGGAGAGGTAGGGAGCTAGCAAGGCTTCCTGGAGGCGAGGATGCTACAGGTAGGGTAAGGAAGCCTTTGCATTGTGGATCTGTAAAGGAAGGGATCCAGGCTGAGGACAAAGAACATGCAAAAGTGTGTGGACTTGAGGGAGACTGGGGGCTTGAAGGAACTGCCAGGCCAGCGTCACAAACCTATGTGTGCGTGGCCAAACTGAAGTAGAGAGGTAGGCAAGGGTCAAATGACACAGGGCCTTCTCCTGGTTGCCCAAGGCTAGTCTAACTGGGTTCAAGGGAGCCTGGGGCTCCCTATTTTCTCTGCCTGCCCACCCCACATTGGGAGTGCATGGGGAAGAGATTCAGAGTCATCCCGCACCGCTCAGTCCAGGCGAAATGCAACACCCTTGCCTGAATCCATAAGTCCTCAGGGAGAAGTGGAGCTAGGGAGACCTGGAGTGTTGGGGTACAGGAGACAAAGTGGGGAATCTGGCTGGGAGGCCTATGGAGCTGCCTGGACGGGCTGCCCTCAACACAGGGGCCTCTACACCTGGCTCTCCTACTTGTCTGGGCAGAGGCGCCCCCTCAGGTACCCACTCCCCAAGCTGTCCTTGCAGCCTTCTCTCTCCCGTTTGGAAAGACCCAGTGACCCTGGGGATGGCTTTTCTGAAGCTTTGTGGGCCTGCCCTCACCTGAAGATGCTGCCCTGGGGATGGTTTCTGACAGTCTGCAGCGCTGTGCTGGGACGGGCCGAGCAGAACGCACCGATCCTTTAGGCAACCAGGCTTGTGGCGGGGGCCAGCAGCCCGTGTGGGGACTGGAAATAGGAGCCGCTCCCTGAAAAAATTTAACATATCCCTCCCTCCCCACCCTGCAAAGAGATCCAACTAGAAAAGGCAACTCCTCTGGCCTGGTGCCAGCAAGCCTGTTTAGGTGAGAGCCTGGTGCAGGGGGCACGCCAGGGTATCAGCACACCCAGATTTCAGCCCCAGCTGTCCTGCCGAGCCTAGAACCCGTCTGTAATGTACAACTTGTACAACTTGAACTCTAGCCCAGGAGGCCAGCAGGGGCCTCTGCCAGGCTCAGCAGATTCCCCGCCTGCAATTAAAGTTTGGAGAAAAGTTCCCCACAGTGTCACATGGGAGGAAGCAGAGAGCAATTAGACAGGAGTGAGGACTGGATGAGCTCAATGACCCTGGTGACCAGGGACTTCCTGGAAGTGGTTTTGGGCTGCCGCCTTCCAGGTTGAGTGACGGGGTCAAGGGTAGGTGGAGGGATTATTGGGAGCCGATGTGCTGAGAAGATGCAGGGCACGCTCAAGAACTGGGAACTGGTGTGTGTGTTTGGTGGGCGGGCCGGTGGGGGGATGCTAAAGGTGCCAGGAGGGAAAATGGGAGCTGGGCTGGGGATTAGGGGACACTGTGCCCCATGGAAGAGGTCTAGCTGCTCGCCTGGTGGGAAGGCTAGAGCAGGAAATGCTCCAAAGAAGTCAGAACGGTGGGTCCTGTGGGAAGGCACAGGTCCTGCTCCCCACAGGGGAGGGTGTTCCCTCTGCAGAAGAACTTCTCTGGGAGGGGTTGGAGGCAGCGGCTCCCTCACCCCATGCCCTCTGCCCACTGGGTGGAATGCGCCTGATGGGGCTCAGCCCCATGTCCCACACCCCAGCCTGGTTCTCAAAGCCTCTTTGTTCCATGGGACTGAGTTGCGGCCAGCCCGGATCTGATAAGGCCGGTGGGGCAGATAGTGGCCCGCCCTGCATGCTGTACGGCCCCAAGCCACACCCTGGCCACCTCGCACGCACGGGGCATGGGGCCCCAGCAGTGCAGAGATGCAGGGGGCTTCCTGGCCAGGTTAGGGTCAGGAAGCCTCAACTTGTAGGCTGGCCCTCCCTAAATTCCATTTAAGACCCCTCTCATCTGCACGGGGGAATTGGG